AAGGTACTCTGTGGTTGTTCTGCGGCGCCAATGTGCGACGCGCACGCCCGCGTATACTGACGGCCGCCAGCGCTGAGGGATCTGCGCGACTCAAAAACGCTACATATAACTACATACATATTAACCCATCAGCGCCGACCGTCAGCGTGCGGTCAGCATGACAGGAAAACCAGCCATAAGAAAAGAAACATTAAGAAATAGAGAAATATTTTATTGTGCGTGGATGTGCAAGTGGTTTAGCATCTGATCGGAAAAATAGACTAAAAATGACTTTTATTCAGCGAACTTAGCGATCGCAGCGCCTCACTTATGGTGTCCATACTTCTGGGACACTATTTTCTACGGCGATCGCACTCCTGTTCTCTAACCTACATGGTCACACATAATACTAATACAATAGGGATGTCATTTCTTTAGTAATTCAGAACATACGAGTGTACTTACTCTCCTATTTGGCATAGTATAAAGAGACCAAAGATGACCACTTGACATTTTTATTTCCCGCTTGAATTATACGCAACATCTTTCAATAGATTTGTCTATTTTTGCCTTATTCGAAAATTAAATAAGAAAAAGCGAGACATACTTGTCTGACTCAATTTATGTTGAATTTTAGGTTCTCCCTATGCATACGTATGTATGTGAATATAAAGAATCATCAGTATGACGTCATTTGCATTGGCCAGTGGGCATGGGTATGTTCTGGTTGTATTTCGGAACATACCCATAGATTACTGTATATATACTAGAGAGTTAGTCTTGTGCCTACTCGGTCATTTTAAAGAATACTCCGTACTAGTTCATTTCGGACAGTGAATTTCGTTCTGTTTACGCCAAATTGTGGCAATTTTAAACTTGCAAGGCACTCGACGGACGAGGAACCGGTTGGCGGGTTGCGAGGGGGGTTTTCGTCTTGCGACCTGTGACCGCGCCTGTTAGTCTGGTAGAATCTTTGGACGCGACGACTGTGTCGATTAGAGGTCGCGAGTTACATAAGAATTGCTACGTCGCATTACGACGGCCTCCATTGTGTTGTTGTATTTCGTTATTATACGTGACAACGAGGCTTATTCTTGAGTTTTGAGTGACTATTTTAACTTCAATTGCTATTAATTTGCATCGGCGCGTGGCTTGTGTTGCGTTTTAATATCGTGCTAAGGAATCTTGCTTTATCGGTTGAACGCTAAACTTTGTGATCCAGGTGGCGATCTTATGAGGCATACCTTGTTATAAATTGAAGGTCACCATATTGTACCCGATGATGGGTGACTTACCACCCGACCGCGTCAGGGCCATCCGACCATTCGCTGGAGTCGGAACCGACTTTGCTGGCCCCTTCCTCGTCAAGTCCTCCAACCTTCGTAACGCGCGTTCACATAAGGCATATCTGAGCGTTTTCGTATGCCTCGCCACTAAGGCCGTTCACTTAGAACTTGTAAGTGCCCTCAGCACTGAAGCCTTTGTGGCCTCGCTGGGTCGCTTCGTATCGCGTCGCGGTTTGCCGGACTTGATCCGGTCTGATTGCGGAACGAATTATAAGGGCACGGATAGATATTTGAAAGAGGTCGTCGAATTTCTGTCCAGCAACAGACTTATTTAGGTACTGCGATGTCCAAGAAGGGCATCCAGTGGAAATTCGACCCTCCGGCTTGCCCACACTGTGGCGGTATTTTTGAGGCGGTGGTTAAGGTTGCAAAAACGCATCTCCGTCGCGTTATTGGCGAAACTATTTTGACATTTGAGGAGCTTGCCACTGTATTCTGTAAAATTGAGGCGGTACTCAACTCTCGGTTCCTATGTCCCTTCTCATCCGATCCGAATGATTTGGAGGTTCTAAACTTGGGCCACTTCCTAATTGGCCAGCCGCTTAACGCCCTGCCCGAGTACCCCTTCAGGGAAACAAACTATTCACAGTTGAGCAGATTTGACCTGCTGCAACAAATGACTCAGAGTTTTTGGCACCGATGGTCTCTGAAGTACCTAAATCTTTTGCAGCAGCGCGTTAAATGGTCTTACAAGATAGATCCCCCTCGGGTTGGAGACCTCGTGTTAGTTAAGGAACCTAACGCCTTGCCTTTGTATTGGCGCCTTGGGCGCATTGTTAAGTTGTCGTATGGACCGGATGGGGTGCCTAGAGTGGCCGAGGTTTTGGTTGGAGGTTAGGTCTTGCAACGTTTCGTCACGACCCTATCCCGTTTGCCAATTTACTCGCGGGCATAAGTCCTTATGCCCGGGACGGGGGTTTGTTTACGCCAAATTGTGTCAATTTCATACTTGCAAGGCGCTCGTCGGACGAGGAACCGGTTGGCGGGTTGAGAGAGGTTTTCGTCTTGCGACCTGCGACCGCGCCTGTTAGTCTGGTAGAATCTTTGGACGCGACGACTGTGTCGATTAGAGGTCGCGAGTTACATAAGAATTGCTACGTCGCATTACGACGGCCTCCATTGTGTTGTTTTATTTCGTTAATGTACGTGACAACGAGGCTTATTCTTGAGTTTTGAGTGACTATTTTAACTTCAATTTCTGTTAATTTGCATCGACGTGGCTTGTGTTGCGTTTTAATATCGTGCTAAGGAATCGTGCTTTATCGGTTGAACGTTAAACTTTGTGATCCGGGTGGCGATCGCGCTCGATTATAGTTTGTGCTAAGTGACGTTAGACTTTGAATTCCGATAACGGCAGGCACCCTCTAAAGTGATTGCGCCTTGTGGAGCGTGGCAACGAATGTGGTTCTGCCGAACTATTATATCGGTGACGTCAGGTTACATTACACACTTTCCTACGCCACTCACACATATAATTTACTTGCCCTTGACGGCACCTTGTGGTCGACCCTACCCTGTAATTCGGTAAGTTTGCCGTTATAAATTAATTATCCATAGACCATTGGGCCCTCCCCTCGGTTGCTCGTCGAGTTGGATTACTGATGGTCCCTAATCCTGTCGACTTTTGTCGGGGTAACTGAGGGCCGTAACAAGTTCTATTAGCTCTTTTCAGTCATCAGAACCATTAACCTGTTTAAATTGTTTCGATCTGTGTGGAATGGTTATCTCAGTTAGTCACTGACTGAATCAGAGAGGCATTCATTCGCTCTTGTCTACGCTTGTTTTTTTTAAATTTGTGCTCTTGTCCTTAATTGGCTACTGACCGATTCTCGAGTTACGTTTACGTTTGGTATTGGCGTCTTGCAAATGTAGGTGTACGAAAAGAGCTTTTAGATCGATTAACAATCAGTATTCGGAATCGTTTCTTTTAGTACAGTGCCAAGATACGTTTCCTAATTGTTCGTCGCTCGTGAACTACACAAGACTATACGGAGTGCTTACTAACCTACTTAGGAGCTGGAGAAATACGATATAAATACGCGTGATGTAGTTAGTTTGTGGCATAGATTATTGGGATTGTGGATTCAAATTTTTGGGAGTAATAGTGTTTTGTGGTTCTGTGTTATTTATAATGCCAAGGGAGTTTTGGCGGGAACTTGGCCGTTGACGGATTGTTGCTCCTGTTTTGTCGCTTGCATAATAGTTTGGAGTGGATTTTGATTCATAAAAGTGATGTGATTTTGTGAATTAGGTGTCTGCGCGTGTGAACTATTAGAGAAAATGACGAAAAAAGTGCTTTGATGTTGATATAAACCTTGAAATTTTGACTTACTTGAGTTGATAAAACACTTGAGTGGCTGTCGTCACCAATAGTCCGCTGGGTTGAACTGTCGTCAAAATTTCCCGAAAGCTTCCCAATGTGACGCATCAGCATATTGTACATAAAAAAGTGTATAAAAGAAGATTCTGAAAGAAATGATAGGCTCAGAAGGGCTAGTACCCAGAGCCGTAAAGCCAGTTAAATAATAATAGCAAGAATATTTTTGTATGCACAGAGTACTGAAAGTTGTATGTCTCAGATCATAGATAAGAGTGTATATCTCAGATCCTTGCTACATATTTATTTATCTATGCTCAGATCACAGATTACTGAAGTGAAGTCATGAAGTAAAAAACTTCATCTGAGTTGTATGTGGTTGTATGCACAGAGAACCTCCGATAGGAGTAATAGTGTTCTGTGCAGAGAACACCACAGAGTACTTTCTAAGAGAACACTATCCTATCGGAGTGGTTGTGGGCTTAGAGCATACATTACATGGAGGGAGCACTGTGTGAGCAGAAAGCGTGATCGGTGCTCTAAGGTTTAGGTAGAGTCTGTCTCTCTCGCACATGCTTCTGATTGGCTGTAATGTAAATCTCGTCACCTTGCTTAGCGCATGCCCAATGAAACAGCCAATGACAGTGACCGTGCGAGAGAGACAGACTCTACCTAAACTCAGTCTCTCTCTCTCTCTACGCCGATCACGCTTTCTGCTCACACAGTGCTCCCTCCATGTAATGTATGCTCTAAGGTTGTGGGTATGTTCCGAAATACAACGCAGTGTACTGTCCAATGCAAATGACGTCATGAATCGACGCTATACTGGTGATTCGTTCTAAAACATTGGACAGTATATGACGTCATACTTTTGCGCCATTTGGAAAAGTGTTGGAGATTATTTTGTCATTTTGTGCTCCAAAAATCATTATATCCTCCTAATGGATATACCATCAATTATTCTATAATTTTTTGTATTTGAATAAATAGAAACAAATTCTGGCATGCTTCATTCGGCAAACACACAATTAAAAATTGTTTTATTATAGCCGGATATCCGACACAATATGGCGGCGGCACGCCAGTACAATATAGTGTCAGTTGATGACGTCATTAGCTGTACTGTGTTGTATTTCGGAACATACCCTTAATGTGTTGAATTATATACCTTGAAGTACTAACCAATTCGTTTTTCTTTTCACATTTGATTAGATTTATACTTCAGAATTAGAAATTAGATAAATTAGCATTCAGCTATGGCAAATCTTACTACTGACGGTAAAATATGCATTGAACGTAAAATAAATATTGGTTTTACTAACAATAATTTTCGTGATTTAGTTTCTCATTTCAATGTAATGGAAACTTGCAAGTGGATAACAGAAAACAACTTTTCGAGGGTGAGGAACAAAATAAATATAGTATGATTACGAAGAGGTTGCTTTTTGTATAATTTTCTATTTAATTTCAATGAAAAACACGTGGATATTTACTACATTTCTGCAGGTATGTCTGCAATTTCCTGATGAGCTATTGAATATGAGTGCACAAATTTATGAGGAAATAAAGAAAAGGATTGATGTCGATCTATATATTTTAGGAGATACTTCATACGCTAGGTATATTTTCAATAAAAATTTAATGAGCATCTTGATCCATTATTCATAGTAACTATTTAAACTAATCTTAATATCAAGTTTGGCTGTTTATGTCTCTAAACATCTCGTTGAAATTCTGCTTTTACAGTTGTTGCATAGATGCAGTAGCAGCAATGCATGTACAGGGAGAAGCAGTGATTCACTATGGGCGAACCTGTTTCACAAAATCAAATATTCCTGTCTTCCTAGTTCTCCCCAAAAGAGATCTGGATCATAACACTATCAAGAAATGTTTAAAGGAACATTTTAGTAATGATGAGCAGACCAAACTATGTCTTTTTTATGATGCTGAATTTGAACATTGTAAAGGTAAGTTTTGTGAATTTTTGAGTGAATGGAAGCTAGCTAAGAAAGTTCTACTTCAGTTATGTGGTCATAAGCACACTCGTTTTTTAACTTAGATTTGTGGTTTATATAAGTTTCTCTGAGGTATATTTATTTGAATACTATGCATCAAATAAAAGTCATTCTAGAGATCTTATTGACTTGTATTTAATCAGAAATGAAAAATAATTGAAATAGTCCACTGTCACCTTCTCATTTAGTGACTATTTGTAAGTTCTTTTTCAGTCAAATTTCAAAAGAATTTGGTTTGGAGCCATATTCACGTGGAAAAGTTTACTGTACAAACACATAGAAGATTCTGATAACAGTATAGTGGGAACTCAAAAATGGATATTTTAAGATTTTGACTTTCAAAATCAGACTCTGCTATAAATTTGGAATAGAAATTAGTTTGAATAAATCATCAACATTTTCACTGCTTTTATTCTTCATTCATTTTCTGTATAATTTTTTTTTCAGATGAATTAGTCAAAATTTGGTATCAGCAATATCCTCACAGCTTAATAGCATTTGTTGAGATGGAAGACAAAAGTAAAAGGTTTCTTGGTCGCTTGATTAAGAACAGAAATGGAGAGGAATTCACTGTAGACATACTTAAGGAGTGCATTTGTATTTATGTTGGATTAAATGGACAGACTTTGTTTAATTATACTATATCAGTTGAAGGTAAGAAGCAAAAATCAATGAAAATTATAAAAAGCATCTCCACCTCTATAAAATATAGTCTTTTTATAGTATACATAGAGTCGACCTGATGGTAAGTGGATTCTGTGGCCCCTGGACATCTACATTTATCCTCGATTAAAAATCAAAATGTATACGCCCTGTCACCTCTGGGAACTATGTTTGAATGCCTTGTTTACAGTAAAAAGGGTCTTCAGTACTCTATACTCACCATGCGAAACAGAGCATTGAGCTGCTCTTTGATGCTGATATTCTGTGAAAATGTGATCTTGCTGCAGTTGAGCCTTACATTTTCTGCTAAAACGATAATATAGCTGCAGCATGGCTCTACCACATATGAAAAGATTTTCAAATTTGAAAGATTGAAATTAATCAAAATTAAAAAAAATTGAAAATAAGACAACTCACTTGTCTTAATCTACTTGTAGTCAGAAGTAGATCAATGATGATGGATTCACATACTTTTTAATTGGCATTTAATAAGCTAGCTTTAAGAACTAGACATTTTTAGCACTGAAAATATATCTAAGAACAGAGATGTAACACTATTTATGTATTGTTCAAATATTTTAAATTTGACTTCTGATACCGAAACCTGTTAGGTTTAACATATTTTAATAGAAGACTAATTTACAGCTAAAAAATGGGTTGCACTAGACCCAGAAACATCCAAAATTGAAAGGAAGGAAGAGACCACTTGGTTCAAACGAAGACACTTTCTAATTGAAAAATGCAGAGATGCCAACATAGTTGGGATTCTTATTTGTAAACTTGCTGGCGACCAAACTAAAGATATAATAAGCAGAATGAAGCAGCTTTGTAAAGTTAATGGAAAGAAGAGCTATATCATTTCAGTTGGAAAACCTAATGTTGCTAAACTAGCAAACTTTCCAGAGGTGAGTGTTATTGTCTGATTTGTAACAAACAGCTTGAGTTGTAATGTAATATATAATAATAAACTTAAAATACACTTCTTGTTCTTACACCATAATTGGGTAAACTTTTTGTATCTTTTAAAGTGATATAAAACTATTTAATACCAAATACTTTATAAAACCATATGGTTTAATATGTGCAGCTCTCAACAGTTTTCCATACATTGGAATGGCAACTGTCAAAATAGCGCCATCTAGTGGCATAAGTTAATGAAAAAGTTATGAACTATGTGAAATTTGTTGTTAATACATAGTTTTTCAACAAAATTTGAAAATTTTGTACAATTTTACACTGTACAAGAAACAAAACATAGATAATAGTTTCTGAATATTTCTTGGGGTTTTTAAAATAAAACTACAATACATCAGGAATGTGAGAATTTTATTTTATTTCAAGACTTCAATCTACTTGTGTGCAACTCATTAAACTTATTTACGTATGCTTTTAGCAGAATGTTGAAATACTTATCTAAAAATAATCTTACACATCAATCACATATATATATATATATATACATATATATATATATATATACACATATATATATATACCATATATATATAATATATACATATATATACATATATATACATATATATTTATTTGTGCTTTTGAAGCGACGGTAGTCTAATGGCAGGGCGCGGATCGCGAACTCAAAAGTTCGTGGGTTCGAATCCGCCATTTGACTACTGTCGTGAACCACTCCTAACACAAGCATTTTCAAGCTTACCAGGAGTGGTTAAAGGGAATATTAGTAATTTTAATTAATAAGATTACTAATATTTTCATTTAAATTTAAAAAAAAATAAAAATAACAAATAATATGTATATACGGGAACATGTGAATTTGAAATTAATTTACCTTTAAAATTGTTTACAATTTTTTTTAAATAATTGTCTATATTTTCCTTGAAAACTTTGTTGATAATGTCTGAAACTCTCTTGGCATTTTCATTAGGGAAGAAAAGCCTTGAAGAACTGTCATATTTCTTTAGCTCTATTTGTGTATTTTCTAAACTAATCTAGGCTACATACTAATTTTTTACATTTCTCATGTGGCAGTGAACTACATAACCAACCTAAAACATAGTATTCTGAATTCTTTTCAGAAATACTCACAGGATAATGTTTTTGGTTAAGACTATTTGTTTTTGAGACAATAACACTTATGTTTTACTGCAAGATTTGCTCTCTGTAAAAGTAATTAACTTATTTTTACTCACAGCTAGAGATTACATTAAACCTTTACATTTTTCTTATATTTAGATAATAAACTACAGATATTATTTAGTCTTTTTTTATAATTATCTATAACAAGATGTAAATTTGAAAGTTGAAGAATGCGGATTAAGAATGGGTGAGTTAACCGTCAAATACCTTTTGTACGCCGATGATCAAGTTATCCTTGCGTCGTCGGCGGCCGAGTTGCAAATGATGGTTACATTAATGAACAGATTATTAAAAGAAAGGGGTATGAAAGTAAACGCAAGTAAGATGAAAGTTATGGTTTTTGAAAGAAAAGAAATTAAAACGATTTGTGAAATAAGAATAGAAGGGGAGTTGATCAAGCAAGTAGATGAGTTTGTATATTTGGGCTGCATATTTAGCAGGGATGGGAGATATGATAAGGATATAGAACGACGAGTGAATGCGGGAAATAGAGTAAATGGGGCCCTGCACTCTATTGTGAAGAGTCAAAATGTGTCGAAAAAGGCATGTATGGCAATTCACAATGCTGTGTTGGTCCCTACTTTAATGTATGGTAGTGAAAGTTGTGTGTGGCAGAAGAAGCACGAGAGTAGAATGAATGCAGTAGAAATGCGGTCGTTAAGGAGTATGTTAGGGCTGAATCTTAATGACAGGGTAAGAAATTGTGTAATAAGAGAAGAGTGTGGTTAGCAAGATGATGTTGTGACCAGGATTAAGAAAGGAATGCTTCGGTGGTTTGGTCATGTGGAAAGAATGAATGAGGAAAGAGTGACAAAGAAAATTTATGTTGCAGAAGTGAATGGCAGAGTCGGAAAGGGACGTCCTAGGCGAAAATGTATCGACCTAATTGGCGATTTATTGAAAACGGGCCAAATTAGGAGTACCCTTAACTGACGAGCATGTATGCGGAGGTGTATGGATGTGAAGGAGGCGAGAGAGGTGTGTCAGGATCGTGCCAAATGGAAGTCTGTAGTCTCTGCCTACCCCTCTGGGTGACAGGCGTGAGTGTTTATGTATTATGTAAGATGTAAGTTTGCTATTTTTGTTTGCAAATTTGCAATATTAGGTATTGTTTTCATGTTGCTCTTGGGTCTATCGGGTCTACCGAGTTCAATTTGATCTGTTTAGAACTGCAACAAAAAACATATACTTACTATGAAGTTTCTTACTAAATCCTTAAAAACATAATAGGTAATGGAAATGTTAAAATTTAGGTATGTAAGAGAGAAAGTTATACCTTATTGGACAGTCTAAATTTATTTCACGTAGACATATCCTCATTGTATTTTTCTTATTATACAATTTTAGGTTTGGTACTGAACCTGGCGTGTACCTAAAAAGTGATTACATTTTATTGGTACATCTGCACGTATGAGTATGGAAAAACACTTTCATTACATAAATAATATTTATTATTTTATTTATAATATTATTATACCACCTTAATATTGAGAACTTACCCCTGGCTATATAAATCTTTATTTCGAAATTATTCTACATCAAAATGATCTGAACAAACATAATTTGTGGAAAAATAATCAGCATCTTTAATTTTCATCAAATTATCCAGGTCAGTTCTTTTACAAGTCGCAATCCATTGTTTCCATCTCAAGGGAAATTTATTAATAAGTACAACAAACGAAATATTACAAGCCTACTATAACATTTGTTTAACAAAATCACATATAACTAACCTCTCCAAATCTTTGGGCATTCTAAAGAATGATTTTGGGTCTTTTTGATGTTTATAATTATTGCAACCATATACAGCACAAATCCACTTGAAAAACTGGATTTGCAGACAACTTTTATTAATTACTCATATAATTAGTAAAATAATACAATGTTAACAGTGCAACTATTTACAAGGCTGTAAACTAGATTCAACAACTCATGCCATCAGAGGAGCTAGTGTGCATGATTGCCAAGTTTTGAGCGGAGCTGCACGTATTATGCCATAGGTTTTCTATAGTATTTGTTAATATTTAATCTCATTATGACTTATCATTTGGTTAAAAAAATCAATTGTATTTGCAGATTGATATTTATGTTATGATTGCCTGCCCAGAAAATAACCTTTACAATAACAGAGACTTCTACAAACCAATAATTTATCCATTTGAATTGGAAGTGGCATTAAACTCAAATAGAGAAAGATACTTCACGAGCCATATAACTGATTACAATGAGCTACTACCAGGCCAGCGACATTACTGTGATATCAACCACACCAAAGAAATCACAGATGTTAGTCTTATTACTGGTAAAATTAGAGAAACTAGAGTTCAGTCAAACACGGAAAACACAATGGAGTTAGCTGAAAAACAAAATTTGGCATTGGAAACTATTGGTCACAATTTGAGGGAAAGGTCATGGAAAGGTCTGGAACAGAAACTAGGGGAAACGGAAGTAAAAAAAGCTGAGCAAGGTCGTAGAGGGATACCGTTGCAATATAGTAATGAGCCAGAGTGAATTAAAAACATATATTTAATATGTACAAAATAGGTTACATAAAATATAATGAACCAAAGTGAAAATGTTGGACACTTGGACAATTTTAATTGTTAAGGCTAGTTTGAGAGCAGTGGGAAACATCAGTGTGAGAATTTGAAACAGATGGGCCAAGTTGGGCATAGTAAATATTGTTTAAACTTTACAGCAATGTAGATAATAAAGAATGTATGCACACTCTGCACACACACCTGAGCGAGCGCCTCGCTGCTAGGGTTATTGATATTTATAACAATGTTTAAGTGATACAGCCTTTTGTTACATCATTTCAAGTGAATGCAACATACTACTCTAAAAACAAACCTTAACAATGTTGACTTTATACAATAAATATAGTTATGAGTAAGTCTCACACTTGTTTCTGTTTTGTGTAATCCTAAAACATTGTTCGAATTAACGGCATTATCAAAAAGCATTGAACAAACATGAATTAGATTCCAATTACGGACTAGATACTTAAAAAGGATATGGACAAATCTCAAATATTCTGATTAAGTGGGTTCTGTGGAGACTTGGTCCATTCTTTCCTAAGTATTTGTTTAAGTTGTGAAAGCCTCAGGGATGGGTTTTCAGCCTTCAATCTTGGTAGATTGATTTCTTCAAATGCAGCGTATGCAGCTTTTATACGCTTCTCAGGATGCTTATCTGTATCTGCTTTATCACTGAAAATCATAAAAAGAATAATTAAGCATCTTCACAGTGTATGTTCACATGAAAACTTTATTAAATAAAAATGTATATATATATATATATATATGAAAAAGAGCCAAATGGTTTGTAAACGTTCAACTAAGAAACAGAAGGGAGGAATCGAGGCTTCTCTCGATCCGGCCTCCTATAACGCCTACGTTGGGTTCGGGAACAACGTATGTGATCTCCGCAACGGAGTAACACACAAGGGCGATAACCTCTTCCTTTTCAGCAAATAGGTTCAGGCGGGGATTACGGGTCTTCCGAAGTCGTCCCGGTCCCAACGCCTTAATTCTTCGATGTGGACTGTATAACTTTGTGGGATGAATTTCTTGGGAATAAAACAGCAATTATCTTCAAACCGTTCCGTGAGAGAGTAATTACTTTTCCCTATCACTTCCCTACACTTTTTCTTTCTTCTTATTGACTGCTGGTCTTGCACTTTTCCCGAAGGATTCCCGAACTTGAACGAATTGCAACGTTGTTCGTCGTCGTCTTAACGCACCTAGGTACGTGCAGGTATCGGGCCTCGGGGTGTACCCCATTGCCCGGATATCCTCATACCCCATAACTATGGGGCAGTCATTTTTTGCCTATATGGCATGGTTATAGCTACATTTATAATGTAGCCGGATAAGAAATTTCTTTCCGTAGTTCACCGACTAAGAAACAGAAGGGAGGAATCGAGGCTTCTCTCGATCCGGCCTCCTATAACGCCTACGTTGGGTTCGGAAACAACGTATGTGATCTCCGCAACGGAGTAACACACAAGGGCGATAACCTCTTCCTTTTCAGCAAATAGGTTCAGGCGGGGATTACGGGTCTTCCGAAGTCGTCCCGGTCCCAACGCCTTAATTCTTCGATGTGGACTGTATAACTTTGCGGGATGAATTTCTTGGGAATAAAACAGCAATTATCTTCAAACCGTTCCGTGAGAGAGTAATTACTTTTCCCTATCACTTCCCTACACTTTTTCTTTCTTCTTATTGACTGCTGGTCTTGCACTTTTCCCGAAGGATTCCCGAACGACGAATTGCAACGTTGTTCGTCGTCGTCTTAACGCACCTAGGTACGTGCAGGTATCGGGCCTCGGGGTGTACCCCATTGCCCGGATATCCTCATACCCCATAACTATGGGGCAGTCATTTTTTGCCTATATGGCATGGTTATAGCTACATTTATAATGTAGCCGGATAAGAAAATTTCTTTCCGTAGTTCACCGACTAAGAAACAGAAGGGAGGAATCGAGGCTTCTCTCGATCCGGCCTCCTATAACGCCTACGTTGGGTTCGGAAACAACGTATGTGATCTCCGCAACGGAGTAACACACAAGGGCGATAACCTCTTCCTTTTCAGCAAATAGGTTCAGGCGGGGATTACGGGTCTTCCGAAGTCGTCCCGGTCCCAACGCCTTAATTCTTCGATGTGGACTGTATAACTTTGCGGGATGAATTTCTTGGGAATAAAACAGCAATTATCTTCAAACCGTTCCGTGAGAGAGTAATTACTTTTCCCTATCACTTCCCTACACTTTTTCTTTCTTCTTATTGACTGCTGGTCTTGCACTTTTCCCGAAGGATTCCCGAACTTTTTTCCCGAACGAATTGCAACGTTGTTCGTCGTCGTCTTCACGCACATAGGTACGTGCAGGTATCGGGCCTCGGGGTGTACCCCATTGCCCGGATATCCTCATACCCCATAACTATGGGGCAGTCATTTTTTGCCTATATGGCATGGTTATAGCTACATTTATAATGTAGCCGGATAAGAAATTTCTTTCCGTAGTTCACCGACTACGGGAAGGGGGGGGTCATCTATGGAGGTATTCTGATTAAGTCAGAGTTGGCCTTTCAGCGGCATTGTGGGTTGTTACTTGACTCTCTAATCACATATAGAGAGGAGTTCTCTTGGAAGAGGTCGCCCGTCCGGTGGCCGGTTGTGCAACGGCGCAAAGCCGTTGAGGTGTTAATGTGGCCCGTTATCGGCACGGTCAAACATGCCGCGCGCTAGCCGGGCCACGAAGTCGGTGATGGTCTCGACTTTCAGATCGGCCGCTATGACGTCGTTCCGGACGTAACGACCTGCTCCGACAATCGTCCTTAATGACAGGTTCTGCTGGGCCTGTAGTCGCCGCCTCAGAGGGGCGCACATCTGGCTTTGCGGACGACGAAGTCGACGTGCGCAGTCATGCGCAGCGCCCGGTCGATCCGGCACCCGAGGTATGTCACGGCCTTCTCGTACGCGATCTTCTGGCCGTCGAGAGTTAGTGGTGGTGGTAGATTTCTGAGGCGACGAGTGAGCAGAGCGGTCGTCTTACCAACGTTGACGACCATCCTCCACTCGTTCAGCCATGGTGGCAACAGGTCCAGCAGACGCTGCATTTTGGCAGTGGCTATATGGGTTCTTCTGGACGAAGTGAAATAGGCGCTATCGTCCGCATATAGCGCCAGCTCAACATCGTCCTCCCATTCTTGCAGCCTGCCTGCCAATGTTGGTATGTCATTCGTGTAGGCCGCGTACAGGACTGGAGACAGACAACTGCCCTGTGGGACGCCGGCACTGATGGTTCTTGTTGCGGACTCGGCGTCCTCTACGCAGACGTAGAACTTCCTGTCTTCCAGGAAAGACGCCATTAACCGCAACATAGCAGGGGGGACTCTGGTCTGCTCGTGTAGTTTATATAGTAATCCTGAGTGCCACACCCGGTCGAACGCCTTCTCGATATCGAGAAAGACGCCCAACGATATGCGGCCACGATTGTACTCTGCCGCAAGCAGGTGCAGCACTCTAGTCAGCTGTGTGACTGTAGAGTGACCCATCCTGAATCCGTGCTGCTCCGCCCGAAGTTGGATGCACGGACGGAGACGTCTCAGCAGCAATCTTTCAAACAGTTTAGCTATGTGCGGTAATAGCGTAATCGGCCTGTAGCTGGCAGCTCTACGCCTGTCCTTCCCGGGTTTCGGCAAGACGATAATTTTGCCTCTTTTCCATTCCTTCGGGAAGTGGGATGTCCGCAGTATCCCATTGTAGGGTCGACCAATCTCTACTAGGACTTTATAGGGCAGTTGTCAGAGTGCAGCGTTGGCAATCCCGTCGCGTCCGGGCGCCTTCCTCGGTTGCAGGCAGGTTACTGTCCTCCGCAGTTCGGCGGGGGAAATGAACCACTCTCCTGCAAGAGGCGGCGCAGGTGACGACAGGAACTCCTGTACGCGACTCTCCTTTATGGCATGAAGCTCCATGTACTCCGCACTTGCAGGATTCGGCATAAATTGCTCCTCGAAGTGCTCTCCTAGGATATCCGCTCTGCCCTTGGCATCGTAGCAACGTTCGCCCGCACTGTTGGTCAGCGGGCAAACGGGAGGTCTGGTTTTGGTTAACTGTCGGTTCAGTTTATAGAGCGACGCATTTTGCTCCTCTGCCTTCCATATGCGCCGCTCCCAGGCCTCTCCTCTGTAGGCCCGGACTGCAACCGGCAGTTGCTCCGATAAGATGTTAAGCTGTGATTTTAGTCTTGGGCAGCGAGTACGCGCCCAGAGCTTCCTCAGTGCTCTTTTGCATTTTATCTGCACGCTTATTTCCCGCGGCAGATCGTCACGCCTTTCTGTGATCGGGACGATCGCAGAGGCCGCGTGGAGGGCCTCCTGGATGTTTTTGGTAATTCTAGTTGCAGCGGCCTCTACGTCGTCCGCTGTATTTATAAGTTGGTGGGCTGGATGGCATAGCGCCTCCAGTCGATGCGTGTCTTGAATGCTCTGGGCGGCGTAGTCACCGCCTTAGTGCCAAGGATTATCAGAATCGGGAGGTGCTGTGAACTCAGGTCGTATAGCACCTCTACCACTACTGGGTAGTTGACGTTCCTAGAGAGCACGATGTCTAATACATCCGGATGTTGCCTCGGGTCTGTCGGAACGTTGGTTGGCTCTTCGGGACCTAAAACGTCATAGCTGTTTCTCTCAGCGTCTTCATATAGTGCATGACCCGGCGGGGTGATCACTCTGGACCCCCACGCCGGGTGTTTGGCGTTTAGGTCCCCGGCGATTATAGTGGGTGTATCGCCTTCCATCACCGTCCGGATGTCTGAGGAGCAGAATGGAGTCCCTGGCGGGCGGTATGCTGCGTAGATCCTTAGTTCCTCGCCCGCCGCCTCCATTCTTATGCCGATAGAACGCATAGTCTGGTAAGGTGGTAGTTCCAGCTCTTGGTGGACGATGTCCCTCCTCACAAGAACCGCCGTCCCTCTGTAGGCGGCCCCTTGAGGGGTGACCTCGTCC